TCTATTATTTATACAAGTATTATAAAAGAAGAAAGAGGATTGCTAAAGCAGCTAAAAAGTAAGCAGTGGGCACATGCTACAAAATTTGCTGGTTTATTTTATTGCTATATTATTATCAGAAAAAATGTTATTTTTATTATATTATCATGTAAATATAAATCTCTAGCTGTCAATTTTTTAAAAAAGAAATTAATTTTTAACTCATGGAGGTGGAATCTCTTGCATGCTAATTGTGCTACATAAAAAAAGTTGAAAATATATAATGCATTGAATATTAACTAACCAGTTGGACCACATTTTTGTCAACACTTCATAAATATCACTGTGCACCTTGTCAGGGCAAATAAAATTACAGTCCGATCTAAAGCTATTGATATCAATCAATGCTTTGATGTAAAGCTGTTCTTGCAGTGTAACTTCCCCACCTCCTTGGGCAGTGTATTGCCATGCAGGAGATGCTTGAACTAGCTTGATGTCATAAGCAATGACTGATTCTGTATAACGCTACATAAACATAAACCAAGTAGTTTCAATAAATTTACTGAATACATTATTTCTTACATGATCTGTGTCACCAAGTTTCTTAATGATGTTTTCAACGGTTGTTTTATTGCTTTTATCATGAGGCAAAATAAAGTGACATTGCAATGTTATTCCCAGCTTCCCTGTGTAGTGATATAAAATAATATAAAAACACCAATGATTTACATTGTGTATCAAGTGGCTCCTGTAGTAAGCATTTTACTCTGCAAGGATCATCTTTGTTGGTGTGGGGATCTTCTGCAGACATAGAATGCTTAGCACAATCATGACAGATCTTTTCAATCGCTTCTTTTTTACCAGACACCCAAAAATATTTTAAATTTTTTATTGGGCCAGTTATTTCAATAGAAGTCTTTTGCTTTTTTATTTCAAGTAAAATATCATCAACTTTTTCTTCAGCTACCCACAGACACCTTCTCACATCATCATCACCATCTTTGATGCTCTGCACTCTTCCAGCCATCATAAACTAGCAACTAGCTTCTAGTCCTTACTGACCGTCCAGTGACAGAAATAAGGGGCGAATGACTTGAATGAGGGGATCAAATCCTTATCTGTACATGTAATAACACCGAAAGTGCTGATACACAGGTGTACAGTTTGCCAAGAAATTTAATCCAATTA